GACTATGGCATGCTCGACTATGAGTACCCCCCCCCCCCGCCCCCTGTCGTGTAGTTGCGGAATGTCCTTTTTTGCGAAAAGGAGAGACGTACGTCCAGACTGAGCTGGGGAAAATAGAACATGTTACAGAGAGTTTGAGGACAGCCAGGAGAAGACGGTAGCTCATACTAGGTATTAAAAAGTGGCCTCAGCAGGCGAGAAGTGTAGACAGGGCAGGGAAAGCATTTTTGAGCCACCAGTATTCTAGGAAGGGGCTATTGGCCATCGGTAATCGGTCCTGTCGGAAAATGCACCACCCTCTCTCGAGGGCGTGGTCAGTGATCTAACCGCTAAGGCATGCAAACCATGAGTACCCCCTCTCCCCCTCCTGTTCCTCCTTGGCTTGCTGTCTCTATGCCTGTCAGAGTTCCCAGAAAATGACACCTCTGACGGTGTCTGTCGCAAGTAGCAACGTGCCCATCACGAGGGCCTTGCTGCGGTCTGGAGCCACCGCCGGTCAGGCCGGAATCCGCGATATCACGCCTCTGCACCTCGCGGCGGGTAAAAGCCGAGAGAATCGATTTTCGGATGGCCACGGGGTTCTTGTGCGTCTGGAGTGCTCCACTTCACTGTGTTGCGTTGCGTGGCCGTCTTCTGAAGCCAGGTCTCTCAACGTCTGCCTCATTTCTCCCAGATTCGTCTCGTGTGCATGTCCATTTTTCACTATTTTGCTGCACACGACACTTCCCCCGCCCTTCGTTTTTTTTTTTGTCCGGATGTCCTTCTCCAACACCCCCCCCCCTGCACCTGCACCTACCCAAAACGCCGTCCGTTTGTCGTGTTAATTTTCTTGCAGGCAAGGGCAGCGAAGACCTTGTCGAGGACCTCCTCCGCGCCGGCGCCGACCCCTCCGCCCGCATCGCCTACCCGCCCCCAAGATCCACCCCGTTGCACAGCGCCTGCCGCTCCACCCGCCTTGGCGCCGTCAAGGCGCTCCTTCTTGCCGGGGCCGACGAGACCATGGGGGACATGTCACCGCCGCCGTCCCAGCTGCCGGCCCCCTCGAACGCACCGCCGCCGCCTTCGACGACGCCCATTGGCGTGGTGGGGCTTGGACACTGCGGGCGTGACGAGGACCCGACGCTGAGGCTACCGGCGGAATCGGCCGCGGAGCACGCGAGGCGGCGGGACCCGCAGACGATGGAGGCCATTCGAATGGCGCTGAGGTGCGCGCGGTTGATTGGTGGGGGTTCCTAGGGGCTCGTTGTTTTGGCGAGGGAAGAGAAACACTGAGAGAGAGCAAAAAAGGTAGTCCGCAAAAGCGGGTGGGCGACCTTGCTGTATCGCGTGATAACAATAATCTCAAAACCACTCTCGCACCCGGTCATGAAGCTCATGCCACTGCTGCTGTGCCTTTTGTTTCCACCCGCGCCTCGCCACACGCAAAACACACGCAGGAATGCGCCTGCCGACCGCGCGTGGCGCCGAAGGTCCTGGCTGGTGATGCTCCGGGCATCAGCGGAGGCGGAGGCGGCGGCGAAAGCGACCCGCAAGAAGTGGGAGCTGTCGTCCATGGCCGGCAGCGTGGTCGACTTGATCGATAACAGGCTCGTTCTGGGGGAGACAAGCAGGGAGAAGGGGGCCAAAGACGCCGTCGATAAGAAGGAGAGAGTAACGGGTGGCGCTGGCGGCGGCAGCGGCGGCGGCGGCGGTGTGGAGAACGGCACAGGGAACGGCACGGCGGAGGACGCCACCGCCGCCGCCGCCGCCGCCGCCGCCGACCATAGCAAGCGAGCGAAGCGGAGCGGGGGCGGCGGCGATGGGGACGAGGCGGCGGCCGGCGGCAAGAGGGAGGGGGACGAGGCTGCGAGTGGCGTTGCAGCAGAGGAGGCATGTGCCCGGGAGGGGCCCGCAAAAGAAACGCCACCCGCCGCGCATCGTGAGGGTGCCCATCTCGATGCCGATGGCGGACATAATAGCTCACGTGAGGAGGAGACGGCGGTGGTGGTAGGGGAGCAAGGCGAGGGGCGGGGGCAGGCGAGAGAAGGCGCCGCCGGCGATGATGGTGGCGATGGGAAGGGTGCACGAGTGCTGCGGTGGTTGTGCGGGAGACTGTTCGATCTCGCGGCGGTGGAGGAAGGGGCGTTCCGAAACGTGGTGCTGTTCCTGTAATCAGGGCACAAAAGCTAGGGAGGGTTGTAATGGGCGGGACGGGGTGTTTGGGTAGCCACGTCGTGCACAGGAAACATGTACATATATATGTGGCACCAATTGGATACCCCCACCGCCAGGCGTGGCAACTCTCGTGTATGTGATGCTCAAGTGCTCAATGAGAACTGCAACAGTTTTCATCTTGACCAAGGAAAACGCCGAAATGGACCCATGGAGTTGAAGGGGTGCGTTACCCTCCGATCCCATTTTTTGTTAATTGGTCGGTTGTTGCTATTGTTCTTACCTGCTTGCCCTTGTGCGGAGACTAAGAATCGCGCCGAAGTCGGCCGTGACGGGCAACTTCAAAAGACTCCTGCACGAGGGTTGCATGATCCGAACTGTGTGTCGCGTACCTTGTGATACGGAAAGGGGCGTGCGCGTGCTTGCCAAGTGTCAGGCCGATGCCAAGAGGCCGTAGAGCAAGATCTCTTGAGGGATTTTGGTTCCTCGAGTATTTTTTGGGAGGGGAGCGAGGGTTGTGTCTTGCGGCAAAGGCCCCTCGTTAGGTCATCCCGGTATGCGGCCGCCGAAAACGCCGCCACTGCAACGGATACCAGCACTATACCACCGGCACCACAAGAATGGGCCACTGCTGTTTACTGTTATCTGCCAGGTGCGTTGTGTTCATCGCAAGTGGGCGCTCACTGGGGTGCCCTCTCTCTCACACGCTGTGACTTTCCCGATGCATTCCGTTCTGCTGAAAAAAAAAAAACGAGGCCCCCTGGTCCGGCGTGTATTGGTCGGGGGCAGGATGCTGCTCTTGTCTTTTTCTTCACCCATCCTGCAAAGTATCGCAACGAGAACGCGCGAGTCAAAGGATGTTGTCTATTTCCCGTGTTTTTGAGTCCAAGATCATTTGTGCAAAGATTCGCTGCCGAATGAGAAGTCCGACTGGAGCATGGTCTAACGCCCGAAAACATCACACACATATGTCAACGTGAAGGATACTTGGGGAATTCCACAGGTAGCTGCAAGAAGACCCGCAACGCAAGACTTACAGACTAAATTGCAATGGGCACATGTTCTGCCCAACGCATGCCAGTCAACACAGCAAGGAGCGAGAGACCAACACCGGGCAGTCAAAATCCCGTCTTGCGAAGCGTGGCAATTCGACACAACCATCACCCTTCAGCCAGCGGGAGAATACAACCGAGAAACGAACACACGTGTGGAGGGAAAATAATAGACTATCGCGAACGAACTGAAGCACAGACACGCAGTTTTACCACCGGTTCCTACACCAAAGTTAAAGTTGCACATCACATACCCCTTTTGGCCGGCTTCAACTCGTCTTGGGTGTCTAGTCCTTGTTGGGTTTCCTTTAAAATGTTACCTCGCCTGTATTTTCCAACATGCTGCTAATGCGTTTGATGTCTTTTTCTTCCACCTTCTTTTCCCCATCTCGTTCCACCCACAGCGAGGGAAACATGTCATGATTGACTGCTTACACGTCCAACCTCGCGTTCCTTTGCCCTGTGAACCAACCGCCCGGCCCAAACTAGTCAGCACGGGAAGGGTACTCTTGACTTCACCTCTACGTTGGACTGGGTTCCTCGTGAGGCTCACGAAAATCACCCAGCCGGAGAACACACGGGACGAACGACAGCTAAAGCCGCGAGTCTTATCCCGCCAAAATACCGTCAGCAAAGTTCATTCCTCTCCCAAGCCTGTTGTTGGTGTTAAACGACCACATCCCCGGAGAGGCCGCAGCTTGTACTCCTAGAACCTAACCAAAACATATCCCTCCAAAAGCCCGTCAGATGACTCCCTCTCCCAAGCCTCTCGTTGGTGTTCGATGAGTACATCCCGGAGCGGCGGCAGCTTGTCCTCCTACAAAATACGCACTTCACCCGTTCTCAAGAATTGCAGGATCGAGATCCCGGCAACCACGACCGTCCTCTGCCTAGATCCCTCGATCCTTCGAAGGACACAACAACAGCACCAGCTCACCTACACAACCTGTCGAAAAAATGCTTCACGCCTCCCCCTCCCCCTCTCCCACACATATTCCAGTTTGCCTGTCTTGCAAGCTCCTGTCGATCGAAAAAAAACTAGAAACAAACAACTTACAACTCAAGCGTACCCCCCCCGCCTCCGGTTCCTGTGTTGCCATGCTTCACTCCAAAACTAAAAAGAAAAAGTGAACATGACAAACGCAACGAACCTTGCGTCGCTGAGAGGCTTCGATTCAAGTGCACCCCCAGCCCTCACGTCCTGTGTACTCTTGTCAACAAAAACACTTTCACCTTGCTGTAGGACGTTACGCCCGTATCCCACATCCCGAGCGGGAGATGATGTTTCATATCTGGACAAAAGTGTACAACAGTAGTGTACTCGTCGCATTTTTCAGCGGACGAATTGTCAGCGACAGCTAAAGCACAGCAATCAGCGCACGCTCACGGCCATCACTACTGTTCAATTCTACAGGAGGGGCTGATCTCTTCCCATTCTGAACACACGAAACAGGAAATCAGCCCCCTCTCCCTTGCGTCTACCTACCTAGCGACAGGCTCTTAATCCTCCAACACAACCAACCTTCTTTCGGCTGCCAAGTCGTGGGCTCGTCCGCCTACGTTTACCAAGAAAGCAATGGTCGTGGCAGCCAGCCCCAGGCGTCTCACGGGGGAGCGCGGCAGATCGATTCTAAAACCCACCACACATAAAATTGGCTTATCTGGAGCCGGCCGGCGATCTCTCCTCCTGACCACCCTCGACCCCGTTACTGAGCAGCGCACCCGGGGCGCGGGCATCCACGGCGGACGCCATCATGCCGAGAGCGGCGCCAAGGCCGGCGGCGGGAGTGGTCTTGTTTTGCAGCGGCCGGCAACTGCCGTTGCCGTTGCCGCGGCTAGCGGGGCTGCCATCATCACCGGCGCCGCTGCTGCGATCTTGAGAGGGCGAGCGGCTAGACGATGGGGTTGTCGCCCTTGGGCGAGAGGAGGCCGCTAAAGCCTGATTGGTGGGGGCACGAAAGGGGGCAAGTCGACAATGCGTGTGGGTTCGACGTGCGGATGTCGTTGCTGCTGCCGCTACGGCGGCGGCTGCTGGTGCAGGATGGCTCGGACCAACACGACTGGCTACAACAACGGACGGAGTAGACTGCACTCGAGATGGCGGACAGCATACGACAAGCCTTCATGCCATCCCATGCGCCCCATACCCAATATACCCGAATAATCAAACGTGTTCTTCCCAGCATCGACACCGCAGGGTGCATATGATGCTGCAGCAGCAGCGGGGGGGGGGCTAACCTCCATGAATCGAGTCCCCACACAACTTTTGTCTCACCATGATGTCGAGAGCTCCACTAAACCCGTTCAAGGCGGGAGTTTTAACAGGCGACGACACCGCCCCTGCTTCCGGCCGGGAGCGTCTGTCCTCCGGCGGGAAAAGCGGAGCCGACCCGGCACCGTCCTCATCCCCGCTGCTCGCCGCCGCCGGGGGTGTCTCCCAGGTGGTCTCACGCGTTGTCGACTGCTGATCCGCCCCCGCTGTGCCGACATCGCTCACAGCGGAAGCGGTGGACTTCTGTTCCACCACCCGTGGTATCTTCCCTGTGGGGAGGTCGGTACCGCCGCCGCCGCCGCCGTTCGGAGTCGTGCTGCTTCCGTTGGGCAGGGCATCACCAGCAGCAGCAGTGGCAGTAGCAGAAGCAGCAGCAGCAGCAGAAGCAGCAGCAGCAGAAGCAGCAGCAGCGGAGGCGTCGCCCCTCGCGCTCGATGATTCGGCGTCGTCCCCACCACCCGATCGCGACATGCCGTCATCTACACACGGCGGTGCCCTCGAGGCATCTTCGCTATCAGAACAAGCACCTGCCGCGGCGGCCGCCGCCGCAGTTGCAGCTGCCGTCGTCTGCTCCTGCCCAACGGGGATCGCGACTCCACCGTCGTCCCCCCGCCGCCGCTTGCTCGCCGGATCGTCGCCGGAGCCGGCACCGCCTTCAGCGCCGCCACCCGTGCCGCCGTTGGGTTCACCCCTGTCGCCGCCGCCGCCGCCGACCGCGCCGGTCGCCGACACCGCTGCTTCGTCATCCGCGCCGCCGGACTCCGTAGGAGACGGGTCGTCCGTCCTGGGGTGCTTGCCGAGAGCAGGCGCGGGGGTTTCCGTGGTGCCGGGTGCAGGAATCTCTCCCCGTGCGTTGCCTGCCGCACCGCCTGGTCCGACCTCCTCCTTTTCCTTCTCCACCTCCTCCTCCTCCTCCTCCTCCTCCTCCTCCTCTTCCTCCTCCTCCTCCCCGGTGTCCATAGGCACCAAAGGCGACGAGCCGTCGGCCATCATCGCCGGGGCCGACGTCCCCTCACCGGGGCCGGCTGGGGCCATGTGGTCATCGCCGCCGCTGTCCCCGCCGCCGTCCCCGCCGCCGGCGGTGCCACCGGGGCCAACCTCGCCGTCTTGAGGAGGGCTGTCACTCTCTCCGTGCTCCGGCGGAGACTCAGCGGAGACCTGATCGGCCCTTTCCTCTTCGGCTGTTTTTCCCTCCTCTTCCTCTTCCTCTTCCTCCTCATCCTCGTTCTCCTTCAACGATGCCACGGCCCATCCCGCCTCAGCACGCTGAAAATCCAGGGGAGCCGGGATCGACAACAAGGAACGAACGTTTGTTTGGTGCGACACTCAATGGCCCGCGGCACTCTGCAAAGCCGGAAACATGCAACGCCGGTTTTTCACCACGTAGGAAAGGATAGTGCGCAGGGGGGCTCGTGTGTGTGGGAGTTTTGTTTATATTTCAAGTAACTAACAAGCGTGCGCGCCTCCATCCAGACCTAAGACAATACCCCGACCAGCCTCGGCTGGGAAAAAACGACAATGCTCTCAAAAATAGTCCGCACGGTCCCCCAACAGGGAAGCCTGGACGGAAAGCGTCCGCCTCATGAGTGTGCTGCGCCCGTGTGCACCAGGACGACCCAAACGAGAGCCATCTGTCGCGGGAAACCCGCTCGGCTCGCGGTGACCGCATCAGACATGTATGGCAAGATAGTCTTTCACGACCACGAGAACAAAAAAAGCCACACGCACACGGATCACGGACCCACGCCAAGACGCCACAGCAAAACATAACGGGGCTGCGTGGGGGGGGAGGGGCTGCCCCATATTCCTTACTGTCCGAGCCAACGGTGCTCGATACAGTATATGTAGACAGAGATCTTTCGAAGTCCTCCAAATTTTGGTGTACCATAGCCCCGAAAGCTACCCGGCTTCTCGGTGTGCGGTGAGGATCGCCTTTTCATCACGGAGCTTGCTGTCAGTATCAAAACGAGAGCAGCACAAACACACAGTCTCCCCCTTCCGGTGCCCGTTGAGTAGAGAGCTTGTTTGCATGGTATTGTCCGGGAATAAGACTTTCACTTTATTGGTTATCCGCCTACTGTAGCGCGGTCGATGCTAATCAAAACACACACGCGCACGCGCCCACATGCGTGGACGGAGGTTTCAATAACATCCCCATCAACAACAAGAACTAACACGACCGACAACACCAGTAGGACTACTCCCACGTGCACTCACGATCAAGCGGCCGCTGCGTCTCCTGGGCTGCGCCTCCAGCGCGAGCTGTCTCTTCTCCCTCGCCTCGTCCGCGAGCCTCCGCTTCTCCTCCTTCTCCATCCTTTCCCTCACCCACGTTCCCATCTCTTCCACTTCCTGATGACATCGGCAAACGGTATGCGGTACGGTCCGTTTGCGGGATGTGTAAAGAGGAAAGAGGATTAGAAGAGCACGGGGGGGGGGACTCTTATGTTTTGCATGCCTTTGCGGTTAGACCATTGACCACGCGTCCTCGAGAGGACGGAGTTTTGTTCCCACAGGACCGATCACCGATGGCCAATCGGTCCCTTCCACTTTGCCAAAGGTGGCTCAAAAATGTCTTCCCCTAGTCTTGCTTTTCCTACCGATATCCCTTCCAGCCTTTTCAAGCCAGTTCCTACTCCCCAGTACAGCTACCGTCCTTTCCTCTCTATTCCTTGCCTCAAACATCTACCTGTACGTCCCATCTATTTTTCCCACCTCAGTCACGTACACTTCCCTCTCCTTGTACCACTGACATTCCGCGACTACATGAACACGGTCCTTCGCATTCGAAGCCGCAATCACGTTTGAAGCTGTCGTCTTCGTTGTCTACCGTCCTATCTCTTCGTCGACGTTCTCCACGGCCATGTCCCCGGTCCTGAATTTGTCCCTGCATCCATTGGTCCATGTAAGTGATCCTTGAATCCTTCCTTCAACATTCCGTACACTTCTAAACCCTCCTTTTCCTCGATTCCTTTCTTTAGATCTTGTTCTCTCGGCACAAGCAACAGATATCTTCTCCTTGAAGCCCCTTAGACCCTCCGTTTCCAGCGTTTCATTTTCGTCGATGTCGAACCCCTTCCATACGTCCTCTACAACCTTGACCCATTCCGTGGGTTGTCTACCCCTCTTTTTGTTTGCCCACTTCGCCTCCCACACTATTCTCGGCAACCTCTCCTCTCCCATCCCGCACATACGATACTGCCATGTCAGCTGCCTTGCGTCTCTTCCCGACCGAAGGGATTGGATCCCCAATTCTGCCCTGACGGCTGCATTACTTGTGCGC